ATCGTTACGGCGTTCTATGGACTGTTTGAATGCGCACGCAGCTCCACATGCGCATTCCGCTACACTCGGGAGCTGACGTCGGTGGGGGAGTAGAGGTCACCAGTGCTGGATTAAGGTAAGTGGGAGGGGGACCCTGGGGGTTAGGGTCCCCCAAGGATGATATAGTGTCAGGAAAACAAGTTTGTTTTCCTGACACTATAGTGATCCTTTAATATGAAAGACGAATTACGGTTGAACAGACATATAGTCAAATTCCAGATTTTGTTTGTTTTGATCACAACGTGTACATTTGGCTCAGTCCTTAATTGGTTAAAGGACTACTATAGTGCCCTGAGGGTGCCCCCACCCTCAGGGTTCCCCTCCCGCCCGGCTCTGGGGAGAGGAAAGGGGTAAAAACTTACCTTTTTCCAGCGCTGGGCGGGGAGCTCTCCTCCTCCGTTCCTCCCATTCGGCTGAATGCGCACGCGCGGCAAGAGCTGCGCGCGCATTCAGCCGGTCCATAGGAAAGCATTTACAATGCTTTCCTATGGACGCGTGCTCTCACTGTGATTTTCACAGTGAGAATCACGCAAGCACCTCTAGCGGCTGTCAATGAGTCAGCCGCTAGAGGAATTGGAGGAAGGATTAACCAATTTGTAAACATAGCAGTTTCTCTGAAACTGCTATGTTTATAAAAAAAAATGGGTTAATCCTAGCTGGACCTGGCTCCCAGACTACTTCATTAAGCTGAAGTGGTCTGGGTGACTAGAGTGGTCCTTTAATAGCCTTCTACACCCTTCAGGAGCCTCCTGTCTGAGAGTAAAGTTCAATTTACAGAAAAGGAGCCAGAAACTTCTAAAGCAAGTTAATATCTGAATGAAAATGAAACCATTTTTTTCATGCAGGCTGTGTTAGTCACAGTCAGGGAGGCTTGGCTAGGATTGCACAAACAAAAACAAAAGTGATTTAAATTGCAGTGAACTGGTCAATGAGACTGCAGAGACATCTATACACGAAAACTGCTTAATTAACCACTTATACCACAACTCTAACCCATCTCAAGATTTTATTTGTCTTTGCACTAAACATCCTATGTAAGCTAACTCTGACATTAACACCGCTCCAACCTTAAAACCCAGTTTACCCTAACAACTTAAACCTGCATGCATTAAACGGGCACTGTAGACCACTTCAGCTCATTGAAGCGGTCTGGGTGCTGTGACCCTTTTGCACTTAGTGCTGCAATGTAAAACATTGCAGTTCCAGAGAACTACAATGTTTACATGGCAGCTCAAAGTCTGCCCTCAGTGGCTGTCTACCAGAATCCAAACAGACTTTTGCATGAGGACCTCCAGCGTCAGATTGTTCCCCATTGGAAAGCATTGATGCATGCTTTCCTATGGGGAAATCCTAATGGGCCATTGCCGCACATTAGGTCTCCCACGCCGACGCTGGATTCAGGTAAGTGATAGAAAGGGTTTTAACCCCTTCAGTGCCTATAGAGAAGGGGGTTACGAGGGAATGGGGACCTTAGAAGTCATTAGTGCCAGGAAAATGGCTTTGTTTTCCTGGCACTATAGGATCTCTTTAACATAGATGCATACACTCACAGATTTAAACACAATCAGGGCCGGCGCATCCATAAAGTGGCACAGATGGCCGCCTTAGCGAGCCAGAGCAGAGGGGTGCAAATATCCAAATCCCCTGACTTGGGTTTTTCAAATTACCTAATTCTCCCTGCAGCCTGCAGTGAGGGAAGTCAGCCAGCCTCTCCTGATGATGTCAGGGGGAGGGCACGTGACTTCCACTGCTCTTCTCCCAGACCAGGGGTAGGCAACCTTTTAGCACCACTGTGCCGATATAGGATTGTGATGTCCCATAGTGTGCCGATCCTATT